AATATCATTGAGGTGTATGTAATTCTAGAATATTTATTTTTAGCACTTTAGTTTTGTCTAAAAACTTTTGATTGTTTTAAGTCATTACATTTTTGTTCCTTTGTTGACAGTAATCATTTTTTTCCTCTAGATATATCGAAGTATTTTTTCTGTACTTGTAATTTTCTTTAAATTTATTTTACTTTTGTTTTGCTGAACTTATGGAATTCATAGTTTGAATGTTTTTCAGATTTTTGTAAATTGTATCCATTATGTCTTTGCATTTTTTTGTGCCAGACCCCCACTACTACAATGCCTGAAATTTAAAACACATTAGAACTTTCTTGCATGCGTCCCATAGGTAGGATATTTTGCTGTGGCCTTCCTTGCTGCTTTTATTTTCATATATTCCATTTCTGTGTCCCCATGCTCACTAATCCTGCCATGTCCTGTGTCAAAACTCCCATTAAAACAAAACCAAGTCATTTTTTTTGTTTTCTTTTTTTTTTTAAGTTGTTGATGGACGTTTATTTTATTTGTTTTGTGTGTTGCTGGGGATTGAACCCAGTGCTAGGCAAGCACTCTACCACTGAACTACAAAGCCCAGCCTAAGTCATTGGTTTTCGATACTGCGCTTTTCTGTTTGGAGTGTTCCTGAATCCAGTTTTATTGATTCCAAATCTCTGGTGAACTTTCTAATATCTTTACTCACTTCTCTTTCCTTTTCTTCATTTCTTTAACATTTCAGTAACAGTTTTCTGAAACTATTTTTTACTCGTTTTAACACTGCGATCATCTTACTTCCACTGTCTGCTTACTATTCTTCAATTTAAATTTATTTTAAACAGATATATAAGAACATACAATTTCTACATATCTATGAAATTGCCAGTGATGTTTTCATACACGTATACATTGTGAAATATCCAAATGAGGGTAGGCATATCTGTTCTCCAACATTTTTCATTTTACTATGGTGAAAACTTTCAAAACCCTTCTTTTAGCTTTTTGAAAGGTGCAGAATGTAAATGTTATCTATAGTCACCTGCTGGGCAACAGCACACCAGAACTTCTGACTCCTGTCTAACTGTAAGTTAACACCCATTGATCAACCTTTCATCTCCCCTTTTTCTTCTGCTCTCCACAACCTCTAATAACCACTGATCTTCTTTCACCTATATAATATCAATATGTTTTTTGTCCATATATAAGTGAGACCATGTGGTGCTTGTTTTTTTGTGCCTGGCTTATTTCGCTTAACATAATGACCTTCAGCTCCATACATTTTGCATATGACAGTATTTAAATATTTTTATAGTGGGATAGTTTTCCATTGTGTAGATGTATAAAATTTTATTTATCAATCAATCAATGGACACAAGGTTGTTTCTACTTATTAGCTATTGTGAATAGTACTGAATTAAACATAGTACTGAATTAAACTGAGGGCAGATGTCTCTTTAACATGCTTTGTTTTCTTTGGACATACACCTAGAATTTGGAATTCTGGATCATCTGGTAGTTCTGTTAATTTTTTTGTGGAACCTCCATCCTGCTTTCCATTATGGCTGCAGTAATTTATATTCCCACCAAAACTGCACAAGGATTCTTTTTCTTCGCATTCTTAAAGCACTTGGTATTTTTTGCCATTTTGACCCTTGCAATTCTTACTAGATTGAGGTGAAATCCAATTGTGGTTTTGCTTTGCATTTACATGATGATTAGGGATGTTGAGCATTTTTTTTTTTTTCATGTATCTGTCAGTCATTCAAAATCTTCATTTGAGAAATGTCTATTTAGGTCTATTGCCCATTTTAAAATCAAGTTATTTATATGCTATTGAGTTTTTTAAGTTCCTTATATATTCTGAATGTTATCCCCTAATTAGATATATAGTTTGCAAATATTTTCTTCCATCATGTAGGTTTCCTTACTACTTTGCTGATTGATTTCATTTGCTGTGCTGAAGTCTTTTTTTTTTTTTCAATTTGACACAATACCATCTATTTTTGCTTTTGTTCCTCTGTATTTGCAATGTTTTTCAAAAGATATTTTCTCATTCCAATGTCCTGAAGCATTTCTCTTGTCACCCCACCATGGTATTTTCATAATTTCTGGTCTCATATTAGATTCTTATGCATATTTCAAGTTGATTTTTAAGCTGGTGAAAGATAAAGATCTAGTTGCATTCTTGTGCATTTAGATGTCCAATTTTCCCAGCACCATTTATTAAAAAGGCTTCACTTTTTCCAATTTATGCTGTGATACAACAGAATTAAGAATAAAACCAAATTTCAATAGAACATTCACTTGATAAAACTGAGTATCCCTTCATGATTAAAAACTCTGAACAAATTAGATATAGGAGACATGCATTTCAAAATAATAAAAGCCATATATACAGGAACTTCATACTGAATAGAGAGAAGCTGAAGGCTCCCAGTCTAAGGATTGGAATAAGAAAAGGATGTCCACTTTAACTATTTATATTCAAAATTATACTGGAATCCTAGCCAGAACATTCAGGCAGGAAAAATAAGACATCCAATTTGGAAATCTGTAGATGACAGTTTCATACATATAAAATTATTAAAACTTCATCAAAAACTATAAGAATTAATAAACAATTTCAGCAAAGTTGCAGTATAGAAATTAGTAATGTTACTATACTCCAATGGAGAATTATCTGAAGTAGAAATTAAAAAAAAAATAATTCCATTTACAAGAGTGACCAAAAGAAGTACCTAGGGATAAATTTAACTAACAAGATGAAATATCTCTATAATGGTAACTGTAAAATATTGATGAAATTTTGTAGAGGGCACAAAAGTTTTAAAACATTCTCTGCTCATGGCTGACCAAATAAATATGATTAAAATGTCCACACTACTAGAAGCAATCTATAGATTCAATTAAATCACTATCAAAATATCAATGACATTCTTCACAGAACTAGAAAACAATTTTAAAATCTGTGTGGGATATAAAATCTCCTTATAGCCAAAGCAATCTTGAGCAAAAACAAGAAAATGGAAGACATTTTACTACCTAACTTCCAAATACACTACAAATCTTATATAATCAAAAGAGCATTGTACTGTCCTTAAAAAAAAAAAGACATATAGACTGATGGAATAGAACAGAAAGCCCAGATAGACAAATTTATAGTCAACAAATAATGGTTTGTTATCTATACTCCTATAAGTTAATGAGGACTTTATGTCCATTATATATAAATGACCTGAAGTGTTTAAGAAAATGTTTCAATGCACAAGACATCATCCTTTCAACTACTTAATTATTTTTTTCAGAAGACACTATTGAGAGATGATCATTTTAGGATTATATCCTCAGGATATGAACTGGACTTGGTTCTTTTTTGCTTTGGGTGTGGCCCTTGAGCACTTTCAATTTCAGACCTGGTGAATTATTTGCATCTCCAGGCCTGTAACACTTCAGAAGATACAATTCTACCATTGAAAATTTTTTAGTTTAATGGTGAAGTCACCTTCTACATTTTAATGGAAAATAAGGGAAATGTCTAAAATAGAGACTGGCTTCACACTTAAGACAATGTAAGCCCCCCAAAAGTTTTCTGTAACCTGATGTGACCACAAATATTTCTTCTGGTTTCTCTATCTTAGAGTAGCAGGATTTTCCATGGGCTAATAGATTTGCAGCTTTGAAGTCTGCCATGAGTTGTTAAATGTGGCCCATGAAAAGCAGTTGTAGAAACTTAGTGTCAATTCATCATTTTCTCCAGAGTTCTCCAACCTTGTCTGTTTGGTTATCAAACCCCTTCTGTAACAGTTTTTTTTTTTAATTATTTTACTGTAAATTGACAAATTATAATTGCATTTATTAGGTGAATAATTTGATATTATGATGTATATTTATAACATGAAATGACTAAACCTAGGTAAATAAAGAATCTATCACTTCAAATACCTATCTTTTTTGTAGTGAGAATATTTTAATAATTATTCTCATAGCAATTTTAAGTGTATAATTTGATATTATTTAACTGTAGTCATCAAGTTGTGCAAATATCTCTCAAAACCTTAATCCTCCTATTAAACTAAAATTTTGTAGTTAGTCCACCATTTCTCAGTTTTTCCTATACCTAGCCTCTGATAACTACCATTCTTATCTCTGCTTCTATGAATTCAACTGTTTTAATGCACTATTTAAATCAAAATATATTTTACATAAATCTAAATCTGTTAACTTTTCCTAAATCTATTTACTACCCATTTATTTATAATTTGATTGTTCTCATTGTTCATTTGAAAGTTAATCATGCCTAACAATTTTGACCAAATTCTACACAATTATATTCACCATACTATGGAAATTTTTAATTCTTTTATCATGAATATTACATATGGTCCTATCAACATTTTATTTTTGTTTTGAGGAATCCTTTAATCATATTGTTTAATGTTCAATGCTTTATAAAATGTAGACTGTTAAAGGTAAATGATAGACTGTTCAAGTTTATGCAGCCAGTAAGAATTTTGAAGACATACACATGAACTCACAAAAATTTAGAAATAACAAACAAAAAAATCCAGACTATCAACGTGAAATTCATCTAAATTTGATAACATGAGTAGTTAATTGAAGGTGAGCACACATGAAAATTGTTTTCCTGTAAAGGTGCAGAACAAATGCTGCCTACATTTCACGTCACAAGTGAAACTAAAAGTCAACCAGAAAAGTCGAAATAAGCATGAAAGGGATCAGTTGATAAATTATTGTGTTGATAACTCAAGAACTTTTAATAAGTGACTAATAGATCCACTCATGGATAGTGCCAATAGCACATATTAATACACAAAGGACAATATATTCTTCCAGGAGAAAACTAAATAACCACTAATGAAAGCAATATGAATGTCCATTTGAAATAATAACAAACAAAAAACTTTCAAACTATGCAGCAGATTCTTTCAATAGGATAAAACAGTCTTTTCAACATCTTTTGGTCAATGATAAAGTGTATAAAATATATATCATACCTGATTCCTCAAAGTCACTGTTGTAGGCTTTCCAGGTTTCAGTTATTCGAAGAAGATTCTCTTCCATGGCTTGGATGTCCATAGAAGGGCAGTTACATTCTGGAAATTTGGGACCACACTGACACCAGCAGTCATTATCCTTGCAGATAAATTCTCCCTCTGAATTGCAAGCAATGTAGCTCAAAGCTGCTTGTACAAAACGTTCCTGAAGATAGTCTGGAAGGAGTACTTGAAGCCCTTGAAGAATAAGCAAAGTCATCAAACAAGTTTACTTTATAAAGAAAAAAGTGCAAAATATGTATTTATAACATTAAGTAAAAACAGTACAAATTTTAGTACATTACGAACGTATGTATAATTTAAAATTATTATTATAAAGTTATCTATAAAATTTTAAACATTTAGAGTTCTTTCAACACATATGCTGACTCTATGACCTTTTCAAATGTATTTGATTGGATCTTTGTTGCAATTAATCATGATATTTAGTTAGTTTTATGCAATGTAGATAAAACCTTTTCTTTTGTAACATTGAAAATATATGTATGCATTTGTTTTCCACTGTTTGATTTCAAATGATTTTTAATATCTTCATTTTCCTTTCAGAGTATCAACCTACAGCAACACACATATGATACAATGGGTTTTAGTGAAAGAGTTCTGGAAAGTTCTTGGTAAAGCTTATTCCATTTTTTTTCAACAATGCAGAACTTATATACTTGTATTGTTTAGGAGTAGCAACAATTGACTACAGAGGAGCAGATGGACTGATTTAGTTATTTCACAGTTCATTTCCTTGGCACGTACAAAGAGCCCCAGTGACATAGCTCATTATTTTTCTGGATTCAAGTTTTATAAAGTTACTCTCTTTAGAAAAGTATCAACAATTTAAAAAAAGCTAAAAATTAATATTGGGGCTTCACAATTATTCTAAGAAAATCAGGGTTTCACTATCAGTATTTCTTGCTACATAAGAAAATTTAATTAGAAGGATAAAAATGAATTCAAAACTAAGGGACAATTTGGCCCACACTAAATTATTATTTATGATGAAATGGATCTTTATAATTTTTGTGTTTCCTTCAAAAAAACATCATTTCTGTACCCTTGACTATTATCTATGAATTTGATTTACTAAATATCACCAATTAATATTTAAGAAAAAAGTCTACTTTGTAAATGCATTATAAACTATACTTATATCATTCTTTCAGATAAACTCTGTCTTTATTAGCCAAAAAATCACTTTATGCACTTATAAATTCACATTTTTATTAATTTTTATTCTGTCTCAAAAAATATTTAATACCTGTCATTTGAAAGGTAATTGTTATGTAAGGAACAAATGTGAAGATGACAAAGTATTTGTAGTATGTTTAAGAAAAATAATTATTGACTATATAATAATATTATAGCTACATAATAACTCTCACAATAGGATACATGTAATTCAGTAGATATAATTAATTGGATAAGCAATTAATATAGGGCTCAGGAAGGCTAAAACCATTTTTCATAGATAGTTCTCAATATTGAGAGGTTAGTTATCCATGTCAAAGGAGAACACATTAACAGCATCACACACAAATAGAAGAATACATTCTTTAAATAGCAATTAATAGTATTGTTTCAATGGACAAGGTCTATAACAATGGAATAAGTGAGTTGTTAAGAAAAAACATTTGGAGTAATGTAATTGGTATTCCTGTATGATGGTAAAGGCATGAAATTAATTCACTTGGATTTAAGTGACTTAATCCTATAGGATACTCTGAGTAGTACTTATCTGGAAGTGAAAGGTATAAATAAAAAATGATTAATTTCCACAGAAGGTTTTACAAAATTTAAACCAGACAAATAATGATGGAATGGGAAAATGAGAATGTACTAGACAATATTTTATTTGATGTAGGTGAAATGTGTCAGATGACTCAGAGGCATCAAGTAGTAAAGTAAAAAATACTTCCACTCTCTCATTAGTGCTCTGCAGAAATACCTAGGGATTTCTTCTGAAAACATTCCTTTAAGAGCTAAAAATAGACTTAATAAGTCTGAGTGTGTGTTGCCAGGACTCAAGAATTACAATACACTTACTAAAACATTAATTGTGTGTGGATCAGATATTTGCAAACTATTGGTCTATGTTTCAGCTTTGATTTTATAAAAAGAAAGAAAGAAAGAAAGAGAAAGAAAGAAAGAAAGAAAGAAAGAGCAATTTACAAAATTGCATTACAATTGTGTAGGATACTTGTAGAAACAGAAAAGAATGAAGTTATTGGGGGAGGAATGATTGGCAGCAAAAAAATAAATAAAGAGTTCAGTTTTAAACATACAAGTTTATCTGCTCTTGTTCTCTCTTTCTCTCTCTCTCTCTCTACACACACACACACACACACACACACACACACATATATATACATATATATATATATATATATATATATATATATATATATATATATAAACATTTGTGTGTTTGTACTCATACACAAAAGCATGCATGTACACACACCTCATGCTCATAGATGGAAACTAAGATTCTGAAATATCAAACTAAAAATAAAAATGGGGGAAATAGGTTTAGAGATAAGGCATTTAAAACTTTGTTATTTTATAACTGTACCATTAGCAAAATTTACAAATGATACCTAGAGAGGTAATTGCCTTGGAAGTCAACTCAGAGTAACTTAGTGTTGCCCAAGGGAAAAATTTTTAAATGTTCAGAAACAAGAGAATAGAAATAGTGACCACACTGTCATTAGGGAAGGTCTACTGATACTCTTTAGGAAACTGATCACAAAGCCTGGGAGTTGACTGTAAAAACCAGGATGGGAGAAGCAGGGCAGGTATACATGCCGTGAAGTAACACATGGATGCTTCCAGTGTTGGAGGACATGTCTGCTTTGAAATAAAGTTCTCATTGAGAGCAAGTGGAAAGCTTATAAATATTTAAGATAATCTGTTTCAAGGCATTAAAAGGTTAACTAGGCAGTAAGAACTTGTGGGGCTAATATGGTGAGAAGGGAATCAAACTCCATGGGAGTGAGTCAAACATTGAACACACATATTTTTTTTCCTTAGAATTTTTCCCAGTAACAAGGCAAAAATTGTCACTTTGAACTAGCCATGCCAGATATAGTAAATATGTAGGGGTTTCTAAAACCAAGATGAACTATAAACCCAAAGAGAAAAGACAAACGGGACAAGACAAGCCAAACATATTAGCTTTCACCAGACCTGAAGCATAATTTCAATGGGCTCAATTTAAAATTGATTACAATACTTTTGGAAATCTTCTCTGAAGGAAAAAAAGAACATTAATATTGTTGAATCACTTTTACAAATCTAAAACACAACAACAATGATCTAAAGACTCTCAACCATGAAACTAAAAGTTAATTATAATCACATGCTCAAAAATTAAATAAGAAAACAGACAAGTTTGGTAAGTTACTAGAAATTATAAATAACAATCAAGTGTATATTCTGTGAGTGAAAATACATCAATTGGAATTAAGAAGCATTGATTAATAGCAGAATAGGTACAGCTGAAAGACAGTAAGCTGTGTCAGAAGAACGTATTTAAACAAGATGATGAAAAAGGACATAATTAAGTTGCCATAAAATTTTTCTTGCCTTCATTAAATATGTCCATAGTAGGTCATTTCTATTATATTATAAATATGTGTATATTAAAATGTTATGGTATATCTATGTATGTACCAAATAGAATTTAATCCTGGTGATCAACATTTAATATTTCTTTCAAAAAATAAAACATAAACAATAATAGTATATGTAATATAGAGATGCACACACATATATTCTCTCCTGAAGTCACTTCATTGCAACATACCTAATATTCTCCTCAAATATTTTATTCATAAACATCTCACCTTATTCATAGTCATACTTTTCTATTATGAAGGGAGATTACCTAAAATACATGTATGCATGTATATTTCCTGAGAAATTTAAATTAAATTATGTAAAGAGTTACATTATAGATATGCCATACATAATTTCATGACAATAAAAATTTTAATATTAAAGAAATCCTTATGGGATTACCATAGGAATCACTAATAACATATAATTCTCTAGAATTAACTTTAAATATTGATAAATAACTTTTACGAATAGTGATAAAAATAGTGTTATAAAGAAGTATCATTCAATTATTGTTGTAATGAAAAAGTCGCATAGTGTTTCATCTTTTAAAATTATATTTAATTATCTAATAGTAACCTATTGTTTCCTGTCAATTTTGTTGAAATAAATTGGAAACCAACTAACCTGAAAATTATTTGTAATTCAGTTATATGGATCATTCACTTTCTCAATTTCTGAGAATTTTACTAAAAAGTTACTATCAAGACTTAAGCAACTTTTAATTACTACTGTATCCTTTCACTTAGAGGTACTTGGTTTCATAAGATACAATCATAAGGGGTTGAGAAACTTGAAATATTAATTGCAATATATATTTTCCAATACTATGACTTTTTATCATATATCTTAAATATATTTTCATCAATAGTTTGGAGTTATAGATATGGTTTTGTCAATTCTCAAAAAACATCTGCTCAGAAACTCTATTGGCAAAGTCAAATTGCAAGGTCAAACAAGCAAAAACATCCAGCTTTCTCACTAGCAGCAAACATTTGATTTCATTTTCATTAATTTTAGTGAAAATTAATATTTTTACCCTTTTCATATGTGGTGTTATTATTGACAAAATAATTAACAATTTCTTATATTAGTAGATAGGTCATGGATTTTTGTTCTGAATATATTGCCTAATGTTATTGCCATCAGTAGTTATTAATGCAGCCTTTGCTTTGCTCTGATAAAATTCTACTTTACAAGCAATTATTTTTCTTCTATAACAGTAGAGTTTTAGAAGATGATCTTTACAGAAAAACTCACACATCTAGACTCCTTTCAATAATATATATGCATTCCAAACATCCCCAAACAATCTCATTAACATTGTAGAACTTCATCTTCTACTTATCACACAAAAATACACACAACAACAAATTATCTCTATTTATGTTTATCATCTACATATATATCCATAACAATCTATCCATTCAACCAAGTCGCTAACAAAGTGTTATAGACAAAGACCTAAAGTGGATTCTTAGCAATATCAATTTTTTCAATTGACTTATGCAGTGACCCAGGTTTAGGAATTTTTTTCCCCTTCAAAGGAATGCATGATGATAGCATTGATCCTGAATTGCTAAAGAGTTTGAATTCTTTTATAAAATAAAGATGAGAAGATAAATCAAGATGATACTGGGACTGTAATACAAATCAAATTTAACAAAGAGTAGATAGGATGCTGAAGATCTTGAGACTGGTTTCCAAAAATAATCCTGGAAAGATTCTTTACCCTCACATGTACAAACAGAATTAGAATAAACAATTGAAAACACAGGTCCAGCAAGTAAAAAAAAATGTGAATATTATAAATGAGAGTTTCTGAATCATATAAATTAGAAGCATAGAAATAATATTTATACAAAAGGAAAGTGTTCCTATCTTTTCTTCTTTTTTAGGAGAGAATATTGAGGTTTTAGTTTCATGATATAAAAGTATTTTGAAACTGTGATGATTTATAGACAATAAAATCCAATGTCTCATTAATATATATTTTAAACAAACCAATAAAATAACCAATAAAAATGGTTTAAGCATGTATTGTCATTTTTTATCAAACTTAATAATTCTGATTGAAAGTTAATCCATACATCGGAAAGGAGTAAGAAGTAGAGATTACAAGTAATATTGCATTTCTATTTAAATTAGAGAAAATATTTCAATAACTTAAATCTAAAATTACATTAATAAATCAGATAGCTTTTATATAAAACTGAATACAGTACATACAACTCTAATATGCAAAATTCAAAATGTATACAAAAGAATAATTAGTCAAGATTTCCACTTGGATCACTCAACTTATTTTGAGCAATGAATGTCAACATAAATATTTTTCTGAGCTAGTTCAACTAATAAATGTGTAAACATATGTATTCATTAACTTTTTTTGCCTTTAAAAATGAGGAAATACCCATACCCATATGAACTTTTGGAATATGATTAATGCTGTTATGATTAACAGTCTATATTGAAACATTTACCAAAATATGATAAAAGAAAACATGGCAAATCATCACCATTATCACAAAACAAATCTCTACAATGGACATAATGTGAATACAGGTATTTTCTTAACATATTATCAAGTACATTTTTATTTAGCTGAAAAAATTCAGCATTGGCTGACATACTAAGTTAAATTTAAAATGCCAACAGTTCATTTTACACTGTAAACAAATATGGTTTTAACTTTCACAAGAATCTATTCGTAAAAAAATCATATCTCAGGCGAGCCCATGCAGAAATCATTGTTTATTGAGACGATTATCATATACAAAGAATAATATTGCTAAGATATATTTTCAATGGCTATAATATTAATCAGGGAAGAAAGTCAAGTTTTGACATTTTCTTTATCTGGCCTAGAATGTTCATATAGGCCAAAAATTATGATATTAGTCTTTTATAAATGTAAAAAAATACACATAGTATGATATTTATGGCTTCTTTTAAAAATATGAAAGAAATCACAACAGGGTAACTTTCCATCCAGAATCATGGAGCATTAATAAAAATTTTACCTACGTACCTTGCAATTGAATCTTATTCTCAGGACTTTGAACCAGAACAGAACTCACAGAATCTAGGTTGTCATAATTACTGCAGCCAAGAGGACCCGTCCGTGTTTCTGTTACCTGACAAACAAAGAATCAACCTTATTATATAGATCAGATTTTGCAATGTTCTTTCAGATCAGTGTAGTTGTCACATACTCACATTATACATTTGATGGTAAACATCACTAAAAGGTCTAGGATCTGATATATACTAGTAATAAATATATTTCCACTTTCTCTCATTTGGTCAGGGATAAATCTTCTGGGAAAATAATGGAAGCAAAACTCACATTAGGTCTCATATTTTATCAAATATAGAGCAATTGTTTTTAGGATAGAAATATTTTTTTTGTTTTTGTTTTGTACTAGGAATTAAACCTAGAGGTGCTTATCCACTAAGCAACATCCCCAGCCAATTTTATATATATATATATATATATATATATATATATATTTTTTTTTTTTTTTTTTTTTTTAATTTTGAGACAGGGTCTTGCTAAGTTCCTTAGAGCCTTGCTAAATTGCTCAGGCTAGATTGAACTTGCTACCTCCTGCCTCAGCCTTTTGAATCACTGGAATTATAGGAATGTGCACCACTTGTGCTAGAAAAAAATATTAACTCATGAAAATTGCCTTTTGTTTGTTTTCTCAATAAATCAGAGCCATTCGCCAAGCTACTTTAAAAAAAAAAACTCATTTTATTATTTTATTTTTCTTCTTATGTTAGCATCAAAGTCTAAACCATCTGGCTTGTGTCTGTACTATATCTCCTCAACAGCAAATTTATCTCCCTGTCCTACAAACAACCTCAGTTCTATGCCTTTGTTTCCGTATCCCCACCTCAACCCTTCCTGGGTTAGAGAGGTTCTTGTGTAAATGCACAGACAATGGCGAAGAGAAAGAAACACATGCAACATAGGGGAAACCAAAGCAAGAAAGTGGCAAGGTCACTACTGAGTAAGTAAGGTCATTTTATTTCATTACAGAGAATCTTTTTTGTTTGTTTGTTTCTGTTACTGTGTTATTGAGAATAAATGTATGAAAAAATAATAAACTGTTGAATTTTGAGATTGCTGTATCTCTGTATCTATATCCATGTTGCTTTAATTTCTCATTCACCATGAATGGTAATAAAACTCTAATATTAGTTATAATTTTATTTTTTTCACAGATAAATTTATTAACCATTGTCTAATTTAACTCTTTGTGTCCCAGTTTCCCAGATGTGGAATGCCTATAGAATCTTAAATCGAACAACAAATATACCAATTATGACACATTTGAAAAAACTGTTATGTTTGTAGAGGTATATATGTGTGTATATATACACACACATATATATCTACAAATATATATATTTCATACATATGAAAATATATTTTAAGGATATATAAGCTCTATATTTAATTTTCAAGCTATTTTTATTCAATTTTAATGACATTCACACAATTGAAAACTTCGGACTTCATGTGTTAAAATAAAAATGTACAAACTCCAGCACATTCTATGAAACAAAACTATTTCTTCAATTTTTTATATTTAAGGATCCTATATGTCTTATTAGTGTCAACTCTAATAAATGTTTCTGTATTTTTAAATGTGCATATATTTTAGTTTCAAACTAATAATGAAGTGAAATATAAATGAAAAAAAATGAATATGAAATTATGATACAGGTATTTCTGTAGAGGTTCTAAGTCTAACAAAAATGAACCGTGTAGATGTACCACTGATAGGTTGAAGTTTTGATCATCAGGTGGTAGATGAAACTCTAATTTAGGGATCTTCATTTATAGAAAAAAAATGTGTTCATTCAATAGATAAACACAAAAGGAGTTGACACTGACATTATAATCATTATTGATTATAGTCAAGGTTTTGAGAAATGGCATGGAGAGTGAGAAAAACATGCAATACATAAATTAAAATGTGTTTCTTAAAACATTTCTTAGAATGTTTTTCATTTTAATTTATTCTAATCTCTGTTTCCTTGATTTCAATATATTGTCCCAGAAAAACAAGCAATGAATAAATTAAAATGAAAAACATTCTAAGAAATTTTTTAAGAAACACATTTTAATTTATTTAGTGCATGTTATAAAGAATATGTTGAGATCAAGAAAACACAGAGATTAGAATACATAAAGCATGTCCTCTCTACAGTGTCAAATTGGGTTGTGGTTGTAACTGAATATTCCGAATAAAAGTACAAGTGCCTGAACGATTGGGAGGTTAAGGGGTACACCGGGGAGCTCAGAGCAAGGAGGATATGGCTTACCCAGCTACAGCATGTGACGTTGAACATTTCCAAAATTAAATTTGAGAAAGTTGTCTTGAAAATATGTCAAACATGATTTTGGTTCTATAAAAGAATATATTTGTGAACTGTGTTTAAATTATATTGTAGAAGTCAATAAGGATGTAAAGTGTAGTAAATTTAAGAAAAAGCAATGCATGTCATTTTCAATTATTTGTTTCAAAGTTTTCTATGTAGTTTCATTGAATTATTACCTATAATCTCACAGTTGGGGAATCTGATAAGGAGTAATAGAAAAATAATCTTCCTTATTCAAAGAGATGGCTTATAAGTAATTATATAAACAAAGTACAGATTCAAGTGTGCTTACAGTAAAATAAAAAGTGTACAGATAATTTACTTGGAAATAAACAATCTTGGCTACTTCATATCAAACTTCCCTACAGTATTATATGTTCAAAATATGATGATTGCCTCATGATGATTATCATGGCATAGTAATGTATTGGGGTTATGGGATTAATTCATGAAAGATTAGTTGAAGAAAAACAATCTTAAGTGAAAAAAGAAAACAATGAAAAGAAGACAAACAAAAGAATAGTAAAACAACAAATATTATTCCCAAACAAAAATAGTATTATTAGAGTCAACTGTGTTCAAATTTACATATTATATATTAAAAATATTTCCTTGCAAAATTCTTATAATGATATATAATTTTTATAAATAGATGAAAAGAACACACCTGGGTCCTAGCTCCAAATACTCACTGGAGAAGAATTTATCCCAGACAAAATGCTTACAATTTGGTGAATATGAAATGAGATAGTTTATGAAAAGTCTTTACTGTGGTCTTGTCCCATAGCAATTACTTCAAAATATGTGTGAAGAATTAAATGTTTATTATAAAAACACCAAGGCACAAAAATAACTCTGGTAGGAATATCCCAGAATTATTCCTCTTCTAGCACCCAATCAAGGTTGTATTATAATACTTTTTCTGATATCAATACTGGATGCTACTATGTTTATTTTTAGACAGAGACAGGATGCTTCATTTTTAATCATACCAAATCAAGTTCAGCCTTGAATCAAACTATGCAAAAATTTTTCCCCAAAGTCACATTAATATGTAGTCAATGTCTAATAGAGAAAGAATATTCCATAATGACACTAAGTGAGAAATATTGCTTAAGGAAAAATGAGCCATTCAAGTCCATAGGACAGAAAAGAAAAACAGCGTTAATATAAAACCAGAAAAAGTTTGTCATCCTTTGATACAGAATACACTTGAGGAGTCTATCCAGAAATATAAGTACATGAGAAAATGTTTTTCATATTGAATGAAAAGGGTAAGAGAAAAAGTTTATGTGCTTTGTAAAATTATACATACACACATATATTTTATTGAGATCTGTGACTTATTGCTCTAGACTTCTTTCAACATGAAGCAAAATACTTGTTCATTGTTGTCAAAATGATAAACTGATTATTGTTTCCTCAACAATTCAATAAAATGCATGATCATGTAAATACTATATACTATATACTTAATACAAATCTATAAAATATATATTCTATTTAAAATCTACATTTTAAAGTTTATAATGCTCTTAGGAACTTTTTATGATGTTTAAGGAGAAGTAATTTTTTATCTTTTAGGTTTCCACAGAGACATAGATAGGTATCCCCCCTTATAATGACTTGTCATCTATCAACTTTTTATTGGTTATAAGACAAGAAAACACAGAGAGTAGCAATATTCTTTCTTGTTCCAACCTGCCATTTCTAATAACAAAAGTAATAAATGCTCATGTTGGAAATTTAAGAAATGAAATAAATTACTATCCCAGAGGAACAACAGCTAATATATTTTTCTATTTTTACTTGTTTAACGTCATCATTTTTCTAGACATGAAAATAGCTGTGACTAGGTCAATTCTTGTTCAGGATTATTCTTTATTCATAACACTAAAATTTGTAGGTTCTATCTTTTTTCAGCCTTTTTCTCATTAAAAAATTTATATTGTTAGAGTTACATTTGGTTATATCAATGTAACTTTTAAGTCATTGCATACAACATTGATTACCCATGTCAAATACTGGAACAACATAGCTTATTCACAAAAAAATTATGAACAAAGAGTGGACCTAGGATCGTCCTTCCCAGTTCAATGTTCTCTTCTAAATATCACATCTTAACTAAATAACTAAAAATACCTTAATATTGATTATTTTGCCTTTTCTGTATGGTAGCAAGAGAAATTCATTTAAATATTTTGGACTGGGGTGGGGAAGAACTGGTAGTAGTACCCACATTCAGACAAACTTCCATTCCAGTCATTGCTTATGTTTGTCAATGTTGCCCACATCTTGACAACATTTTCCTGAGATTCATTCTACCACACAGTGTCTTCTTGTCCATTCCTTCAGAAGTGTCCTTCAATTCTTTAATTATCGGAAACACTGTTTTCAGAAGATTACAGTAAAGGACATAAACTATATTTGGCTCACTGTATTTCAGATGATGACATCTAAAATGAGATCTGAGATTTATTTTTCAAATATAAAGAATGATGTATTCTTGTATAAATTTTTCCTCAAGGAGTCATTAATTATATGACATTTTATTTATTGAAATATTATAAACTTTATTGCAATCCGTATAAATAATGAAGGTCTCATATGTAGAATATGTAAAAATATTCTACAGACAAATTATAAAACAAGGGTAATCTTAAAAAGGCACTTGACAAAAAGAGGATATCTATATAACCAACATTCATGAAATTGCATTAAACTTTCATATCAGGGAGCTGAA